TCAACCAGAGCATGTCAGCTCTCAAGCGAGTGCTAAGTGCCAGCCTTTCAAACCCTTCCTGTAGCATTTCTTACCTAAAATAGAACTCCAGTCTTCTAGCCTTATTTTTGTGCCCCAGAAAGGCCAGAGGCTGTCCTGGCCAGAGCAAGTGTGTCCTGCATTGCAATCCTATTTTTCGTTATCCAATAAAAACAAAACAACTGTTCGCATGAAGATTTCTCTCTCTATCTTTGTTTGGTGACTTTGGCAGGGGGTGAAGTTGGGAGGCAGACCGACAGAGAAATCCAAAGCTGTGGACAAAGGCTTGGCGCTACTTGCTCTGGTGTTTCATATGAATGCTCCAGGCTGTAAGGAGTACCAAGGCAACAAAAACAGGAGGAGTACTCAAACCTTGCTCAAGTTAGTTTAAAATAATTATGATTAGAAACAAACGTCAAGAATATGAAAATCAAATTTGACTTGAGCAAGCGTCATTTCTGAGATTTTAGGCTGGATCGATTTGGGATGCCAGTGGATATAAGTTTTGTTTATTTAGCAAGTGTGAATATGGCTGAGAGGCTTGCACCTACTGGGCACTGTGGAAGATGCTCCATGTACACCTGCTAACAAGGCCCAGTTGGTCACTTATGACTGAGCGCGGGAACATCAACAGTAGACAACACAGTCAGGTAGAGGATGGAGACTATGCAGCTGGCTGGAAAGGTTTGCTTCGGAGGGCTCAGAGCTATCACCCCTTCCCTTGTGAGCTTTGGCTAAGGAATTATACAGTCTATGACTCATTTTTGACAAGAAGGATATGCTACCTATGTCATTTATTGGAGCAAATGAAGCTGAAGTGATCAAAGCTAAGTAGCCTGCTCATTTGGCCTTATGTACCACATGAAGAATTTTGCTACTCATAAGAGAAAGTACTTGGTTTTTTTTTCATTATAAAATATGGTATACTGATGTCTTAGTCAGTGCTGTGAAGAGACACCATGACCATGGCAAATCTTATAAAAGAAACCATTTAATTAGGGCTGGTTTATAGTTTCAGAGGTCTAACCTATTGTCATGGGGGAAGCATGGTGGCACACAGGCAGACATGGTGCTGGAGAAGTAGCTGAGAATTCTGCATCCCAATCTGTGGGCAGAAGGAAGATAGAGACTCTTGACTTGGCATGGGCTTTCGAAACTTAAAATTCCATCTCCAGTTACACACTTCCCCCAACAAAGTCTGACTCCTAATCCTCTCAAATAGTGCCATTCCTTGGTTACCAAGCATTTAAATCCATAAACCTATGGGGACCACTTTCATTCAAACCACCACAACATATAAAGTATTTACGGTAATGTCATTCACATAAGCATCAACATTTTTGGATGATGGCATTGATGACAGCAATGATAATTGGAAGTTCCACTAAGTCATGCTTAGGTAACAACAACAACAACAACAAAAAAACAAAGAAGGAAAACATAGGTAATGTGAAGGAAGAAAGGAAAACATTGGGGAGAGAGATTTAAGAGGGGAGAGAAAAGAAGGAGGGATAATTAACCCTAAGGATGGTTGAGAAAATATATGGAAACCTAATATTTTATATAAGCTTCATATACATGCATATATATGAATACAATTATTCATTAAAGAACTTAATTGGAGTCACCCTACACTGGTGATGATGCCCCCTGCAGAAGCCATAGAGTGCCAAATAAAAAGCCCAGTGCCAGGTGTGGGCTACTGTGATGGTCAGATTTTGTCAACTTGAAACAAAGTAGAGACACTGGGAAACAGGGCACTTCAGTTGAGGCATCGCCTTTGTCTCATTAGCCTATGGGTACGCCTGTATGTAGGCTTGATGATTGGTATGGGAGGGTCCTGCCCATCGTGGAGGGTGCCACCCAGGGCAATTAGCACACATAGAAACTCACAGTTGGTCCAAGTGAAGAGGATGAGCGTCAGTGGAGAGCCAGACCCAAAGGGGACATCTACACTGCCCTCTCCTCGAGGCTCAGAGATCATTAAAAAAAAGTGGGCAGAAGGTACGAACCAGAGTTCAAGGACGGCCATGGTGCCACACTGCCTTCTGGGCATGACAGAACTACCACAGTCACAGTAAATGTCACGGCAAATATCACAGCAAATGTCACAGCATGTACAAGATCAAGCCAGTCAACATTGGCCTTAGTTACATTTCCAGTACTCTGACAAAACACCATGACCAAAACAACCTATAAAAGAAAATATTTTATTAGGTTTATGGGTTCAGAGGGTTAGAATCCTCTAACCTTCATCTTCATGAAGCGAAGACATGAGGTGCAAAAACAGCTGAGAATCCAGTGTCTTGATCCAAAAGTAGGGGAAGAAAGAGGGGACTAGCTAGGTCTGGGCTGTGTGCTTTTGAAACCTCAAAGCTCACCCCTAGTGACACTCCTCCTCCGGCAAAACCACACCTCCTAACACAAACTGAGGATCAAGCTTTTGAATGTATGAGCCTATGGGGAACCATTTTTATTCAAACCACCACAATATTCTATCTTGGAAGGAGAAGGAGTTTCCATAATTAAGGATCTATGGACAATTGACGGCTCCCAGGGGAAGAAGATGAAGTTTTTTTTTTTTAAAGGTATGGCTCTTTGTAGGTTGACTATGCCCCAGTAGATGGCCCCACATCGGGGGTATATGGGCAGTACAGATAGGAGTCATTAAAAACAACAACAAAACAGACTTGAAGTTGAGGAAATAGGTGAAGGGTTAGATCAACGATGAGTTTGGGATGAATGTAAACAAAATACATTGAATAAAATTCTCAAAGCATCATTAAAGCAGAAATAAAACAAAAAGAAGTTACTCGAAAGAGTTTTTTTTTTTAAATTAATATTTCTAGTAAGCCTCCTTTGGGTAAGGAATTATCAAACCACACTCAAGAAGGAAGCACTTGCACATTTTGAAAGCATCTCCAGTAACTAAAACACAGGAAAAGAACTAGCATGTTCCATGTAGTGCTGTCTACGTGGAACCTTCAAGTGTTATCAATTCAAGGATGATGCATACTCAGTCGGATCATTTGACCACCAGGGAGGAGAATTAAGAGAAGTAACACATAGTCTGGTGAGATGTTTTGGGATTGAAAGCACCACCAGCAAGTCTGGACCTAAATTCCATCCTGGGTCACAAAGCAGAAGTTGAGTTCCAATTCCTGCAAGGTGTCTTCTGACCTCTCATGTGCACGACGGTATGTAAACACACACACACACACACACACACACACACACGTTGCCCAGCCATTTCTTTTATACCTCTGATAGGTCAAGCACCCTGTTCAGATCCACTCTCTGGTGAACTGACTTTCAATCAGGCTTGTCTGTACTGATAATTGATTGAGGAAAACGCCTCAATCAATGCTTAAACTCATGTTTAACAAATGTGCCCGTTTTCACTGTTTTACTTGATAATATGAAACCTTTTGGGAACTCTTTGTATAAAATAAGTGACAGTAAATCGAGACAAGAATATGTATGTGTCCAAGCTGGGTCACAATAGCCAAGAGGCATATTTGACACTTAATCCTGCTGGGGCTGGGCCAGTCCTAAGGGTAGGTAGACAGATGGAAGAGGCTGCAGGATTTCTGTGAACCAACATCTGCCTCTAATCACAGAAAAGGCCGAAAGGACAGGGACATTTAGTGGTAGAATTGTTTCTCTGCCAACATCTTACTTAGGAAGTCCTTTCGGGGATCCCACTTAGAAATAAAAGCAACACAAAGCCTCCCCCATCTAGGAGAAGAGAAGTAACCCTGGGCACGCAGTTATGTGAAGAATGAAGCTCGTATCTGCCCGGAATTTGGGACCATGATCAAACCAGCCGGAGCTACCGACACTGCTGCTTGATCTCCCCTTTCAGCCTCTGCAACCCACAGGAATTCTTTGCATTACTTGTGCCTCGGTTGTGCTGGTATTGAATGTACATCAAGATGGTAATTTATGGACTGAGAAAGCCTCTGCCAGTGGACGTGGCTCCTTCTGGTATTTATGCCTCACGTCCTGGGGCCTCAGGCCATGGCCCTGCTTGCTAGCTTCTACTCTCCTTCACTTTGTCCTTAGGTCAGCTTTAAAGATTTTTTACAGCAAATCCTAAAAGTAGCACGCTTAAAGGATTTGACTAAGAAATAAATAAGAAATTTAATATTGGAGATGGGTCTTTCTTTCCTAATCTGTGTCTATGAAATGATAAATTTATATTACACATTCCCCTGTTCAGATGTCTAAGCAATATAACATATGCTGGACAAATTTCCCTCTCCTTTTTTTTTTTCATAATGGTAAGCCTGGGCTAAGATAAACATTTTGGTAAGTTAAAAACTAACATCCTATTGTTACACGGCATTAGCAAATTGCGATAGAAAGAGATTAAAGAATATTTGCCTCAATACACGAAATCAATACCTAGTATTGACAGTAGCCTGAATCTTTCTAATTTGGCATGGAGCCTTAATCATTCTATTTAAAAGCAAAACAAAAACATACAACAAACAAAGACAATGCAGCTTAAATTCAACATATACGTTGAGCTTGCTATCTGTGACTCGATACATGAATTTGGAAGTACTCAATGTACAATTTGTACATACAAAACTCAGGAGGTTCCCACCCTTTCCCTTATTACTGTTCAAAAGTTTATGGGCATTAAATTTCTGGAAATATTAAAAGCCAGGTCACCCTGATTGTCATCTGGACTCACAGGAGAAGAAGCTTCATGGCTGTTTGCTTCTCAACACCTCTGTCTGAAAAGTGCTGTGGGCTGGGTGCTTGCATGTACGTGGGCCCACGGATCGGCATGTAGGGAAACAGCTGTTCCCCTCCATGACCACCACCCAGCGAGTCTCAGCCCTCACATTTGAGTGTATTTTGATCATGTATAAAGAGATCAAAGGAAATGCTGGAATGCTTCGGTGATAAGACAGATTCCTTCTGCTCTAACACTTTTGAAAACTGCACAGTGTGCAGTGGAATGTCTTAATCTGTATATGCAGTGGAAGGGTACGGATTTATATAAGCGATAAAAATAGACACAGACAATACATTTAAATATACCTCTATATTTCCCTAAAAGACAGTGGTACTTAAAAGACAGCTTTCTTCTTATTAGAAAAAAATGGCATTTGAATATAAATTCAAGCCTCTTTAGCTATGAAGAGAGGATCAGACAGACATGGTAAGGGAAGGCATCTCAGGTGCGCTATTGTGTAAAGAAGGGGGTCTGGGAGGATGTTTCTGATGGGAGAAATCATAATGACATATATCAAGATGCTATGTTGTAGACCTTAAGTGTTTAAAGTTTAAAAAGTAAAGACATATGTGTATACATATCTATGTATACACACATGCACATTTTTTTAAAGGCAGATATTTCAGGGTAGAAACAGCTTGAGAAAGCAAGAGTGATCGAGTGACCTCAGAGTTCAAAGTCATGGGAAGACCGGATGCCTAATTGTAGACAGCCACAGAAAGATTCTTAGAGTAGAAACGTTGATTTTCCTTATCTACCATCCCTACCCACAAACATGTGTGTGCGTGTGTGTGTGTATCTGCACATGTGTGAGATCAGCAAGACTCCAGGAATGGGTCTGACTGGGTAGCAAGGGAATGCAGAAACAGACACATGGACACACACACACACACACACACACACACACACACACACACACAGAGAGAGAGAGAGAGAGAGAGAGAGAGAGAGAAGCTAGGCCAGGTAGACTAAGCTCTTTGATGGAGAAACCTCAGCACCTCAGAAGCTCAGTGTTTATTAAATACAGTTGAATGAAGAGGCAGAGCTATTGCATAGAGCTGGTCAAGGAGGAGGGGTTATTAGAGACAGATAAACAGGAGGCGGAGTTATTAGATACAGATAGATAAACATAGAGGTGGGGTTATTAGACTCAGATTAACAGGAGACGGGGCATACATGTGGATCAAAGAAACAGGTTCAGCTAATTTCAGTGGCACAGTCTCTGTATAAGACAGTCTTCAGGCTGTAAACACCCAGAGGGGAGAAATCCATGCTGAGCATTCTCTGCATGCACTATCAACATCCACACATTGACCAGAAGGGATGGCTGGGCATTCCCTCTGGGTCTGAGGCTGGGGTCTGGCCATGGCAATAACACGCATTCGCTCAGGGCTTCACACGCTCCCTCTGCCTTCTTCTGTTCCCCATGTGTGTTTGTGTGTGTGCTTATGCTGGAGACAAAGGTGTTTCATGTCACTTCAACACTTTCCTCCAAATGTAAAGTCCTACTGAGTGAAAGAACAGCTTTATCATTTAAAGCCAAAAACAAGAGAAAAAGGAATAGGCAATACTTTCCAAGTAGCTGTATGGAAGCCTTCCTGTATCAAACGTCGCTTAATTGTCCTTTTTATCACATGCATCTGAAAGTGCTTTTCAGTGTCTTATGACCAGACCTTTTATTCTCACGGCTGGGCTGAAGTTAGCACACTATCATGGGTACAAAATTTAAGGAAGCATGGACAAAGTGCAAGATGGAGTTCTGCCCTCTGGTTCCAGCATGGAACTGCTTCTTCTGACTTTGTTCAAACACACCGTGATATTTTGCTCTTCATGAATTTTTCTCCACTCATTTATCTTTTTTTTCTCCAATTGCTGCCCTAGAGTATTACTTGTCTTCATTACTAAGATATTTCCCTTTTGGTCTCTTTTACATTTTGAATTCCAGGTAAGTGCCTTTGACTGCTTAACACAAACCCTAGCCCAGGCCCTCAGAAGACGAATGTCTTCCTAAGAAAATCTAGCCACACCTCAGTTAACGCAGTAAGTGGGGAAAGAGTTTGCTCAGATGATGGATTTCGTTTTAACTGTGCCTTCATCTGCTGAAAGGGTAAAATTGCCTGCAAGAAAAACGGATTTATGGCTACCGCCCTCCCGATGGCTAAAGGGATTTTTATCCATGGAACACTTGTCCATTTGCACAAAGTTTTATGGGTTGATCGCTTAGCCTCGTACTTTCAAAAATATTTTCCTAACCACAAAATTTTAATCTAGCAACCAGATGGTAACCACGGTGTCACTCCTTTTAAATACGTTACGTTCAAAATGATGCAAATATGTTCCGGTTTCAGTGCCCGCCTCTTATGGGAAGATAGAAACTACCACGCTTATTGTTATGACATTAAAAAGAAGTATCTGGAAAAACTGAAAACCAGAAAACCAGTGGCTTTTCTTAGATGTGGCAGAGTACCGCGTCACCAGAGAGGACTGCCACCCCACACCCGAACCTTCAGTTCTAAGAGCCAGCTGTGATCTTCTCACTGCGGCAGAGCTCACTAGAGACACCAAAAGGCTCGCCTAGACTAGACGGTAATGTGAAGGATTTCAGGAAGCTAAGTTTATAGAAGGTCAAGAGAGAGTGGAGAAGCTCTGCTTCATTAAGTTTAGCAGAGAGGATGCCAGCAGGTTCTCATGACAGGAGCCAAGAAAATTCGCCGTGTGTCCTTGGCACGAGGAAAAGTGAGCTAACACTTGAAACATGCCCAGAGTGTTTTCCATGACCAACGCTTGCTGTCCAGTGAGAGTTCATCAGAACCTAGTTCACGTAGAGAGCAGGGCAGCTGTCCGGTTCCAGCACATGCTGACCTTAAGGTTTCTCCTGAAAGAGGAAGGGAGAAATAGCAAGAAATATGTATAATAATCATAGCTTACAGACCCAAAGAGTCTGAAATTAGATGGTAAAAATATAGACTGCTCCTCCCCAGCTCTCCTCACCTCTGTATTGACACGAGGCAAACAGATCGAAGCTGCAGATGCTATACTCTGAGCTCTCTTTCTGAGAAGTTCTCAGGGTCACCCAAAGACCACTGGGGACAAAGAAACACAGATGTCAGAAGATAGGCAAGCTTCTGATACCACGAACATGGAAAACAGGAAGTGAAGCCTGACCTCGACACAGCAACGTAAGATAGCTACCATCCTTCTAACAGCAAATTTACTTCAGTTCTTGCTCAGTACACCAAATCCGGCTTTCAGTAAAAACTAGGAGGCATCCTAAAACAGATGAAAACAAAACAAAACAGCAACAGTAACAACAAAAGTCAACAAAACAAAACATCTGAAATGACAAAACATAAGAAGACTGGAAATAAAAAAAATCACAATGATTCATCTATTAATGTTTTTAATGTAGAAAGTAAACAAAGGATGAAGAAAGAGAGAGAACAGAGAAGAGGGACGAGAGAGGAATTTTGGAACTCTATACCACCATGACAGAAATGAAGAGTGTTCTCGTCCTAGACTAGACACAGCTGAGAAAGAAGTTTATCATCCCCAATCAGGAAAAGAATAAAAATCCAGGACTTTATGTCCAGGAACTATGGGAAGATTTTTTTTTTATTTTCAACTTTTTAAAGTAAGTGTAATTTATTTATTTATTTAGTTGTATTGAACAAATAGCTTTTTCATACAGCATAATTTGATGAAGGAGAGACATCCACACATTTGAAATACTAAGAGGAGACTATAAAAGGAGCAGAAGAAATACTCAAAGCAATAATGAATGATAATTTTTTAAAATGAATGACATAGCAAACAGTAGATCCAGGATAATAAGAGACTATCAAGTGATATAAATATAATATATTCTAATATATAATGCATAAATATGTATTATTTGTCCTTTTGAATCTGTTATCCCACTTAATATAATTTTCAGATCTATCCATTTTCCTATGTATTTTATTTTTCTTTACTGCTAAGTGTAATTCCACTGTGTGTATATACTCCGTTTTTATTTTCTATGCATCTGCTCATGAACAGTAGAGGCCACTCTTTTGCTACCGAGACCAGAGCAGCAGTAAGCATTGACAAGCCAGTGTCCCTATGGTAGAACGTGGAGTCCTTTGTAGGTCACCTGTGTTTTGATTAGTCAAAATTTTGAGAAGGAAGGAAAGAAGCAGTGGTATGAAGCTGAAGAGCATTATAATCAACCTGTTCACGTGAATTTTTGTAGAATTCTTCATCTAATAACTATACAACACACGGGTTTCTCAAGATGGTATAGGAAATATATATGACAATATATATATTGAAAATCCTGAGCCACCCAAAGAAATAAAGTTACAAAAGTCTAATGAAAGAAACTGAAAGAGATCTAAACAGGTGGAGAGATGGTAACATGTTGACAGGACGTCAGGAGGACATCTACTGTTCTTACCTTGCAAGACTTATGCAAGACTAAGTTCACCTCTGTCTCTTCTTTCAAAACAGCATCTGGCTATGTAGCCCATACTGGCCCAGTACTCACTAGGTAGCTCTGGTGGTCCATGCACTGTTGTAATCCACCTTCCTCAGACTCTGAGTACTGGATCACAGGCATGTGCCACCATACCACAGTCTTTTAATCTACTTGTAGGCTGTTTTGTAGAGATCAACGAACCTGAACTTTATATAGGAAGAAAGACTTGAAGTAGTCAACAGACTAACAAAGAAGCACAAAAGAGGATGCTACAATACTTAAAGCTATGGTAACCAGAACTGGTGGAAGAATGCAAACAGTCCCCAAACAGTTGACTGGGCTTTGATGAAGGAGCAAAGTCATGCAATGGAGGAAGGATGCTTTATCTCAGTAAATGTTCCAGAATCAACTGGACATGCATTTACTCTGGTGGGATGCCCGTGCTCCCCTAGATGACTGCACATCCGCGAGCACAGCAGTAGCACTAACTGGACTTAGTAGGTTATCAAAAAAACCAAATTAATATGAAGTTGGGGAAGTGTGTTGTGAAAGGTTTGAGGTGTGGGGCTTGGTAGATGTGATCATATTTCATTGTATATATATATATATGAGTTTCTCAAAACTAAGAAAAATTAAGAAGGAATATAAACACAGATTTGATACTTTTTACAAAATAGCACAAAATGAGTCACAGACCTAAATGTAAAACTAAAGACTACAAGCGTGGGGGGGGGGGACCACGGAGAAGATCTAAGTGATTCTGGGCAAAGTGATGATGGTCTTGTATGATACAACCAGCTTAACAGGGGTAAGAGAAAAATCCTGGACAATCAAACTTCATTAAAACTAAAATCTTCCAGGTAGACAATGTAGACCCGGTAACCTGAGTGTGATCCCTGGAAATGACCCCACAAGGTTGTCCTCTGAAATTCACAATCACTGTGGCATGCATATTTTCTCCCACACATCATGTATATGCACACATTTACATAATAATAATAATAATTTCTTAAAATCAAAAGAACTCATTGCATTAAAATCACTAATAAGTCCCAGACTAGGAGCAAATACTTGTAGAAGTCATATCTGATAAAGCATGTAACCCAAACACACAAAGAACTCTTAAAATTCAACAATGAGAACAAAAACAACCCAATAAAAAGAAAGTGGCAATATATCTGAAGGGACATTTCACAGAAGGAGATGTAAACCAGGAAGTCAACCACATGAACACTAAGATCATTGCCAGATTCAAAACATAAATTCAAAACACAAATTCATACTGTGAGTTGCTGCTGCCACCTCAGAATGTTTAAAATGCTGGGGCAACAATCCTCACACATTATTGACACTGCTGGTGGGATGCAAAGATGGCCTAGCTATTCTAGAAGATGGTTTCATATCTGCTCATGAAGCAAAATATATCCATCCAATGGAATCCAGCACTGTGTCTTTTAAGTATTTATGCAGGAAATTAAAAACTACATACATGCAGAACATAACACAAATGTTTATAGCCACTCAATTTTTCTGTGTCAAGAACTAAAACAAACCAAGATGCCCTTCAGTAATGAATGATTAAATATGGTGTGTATTATAAAATAATTATTTAGCACTAAAAAAATAAATGAAGTGACATGCCACGGGAACAAACAGAGGAAACTTAGGAGGAAAGTTTTAAGAGAAAGAAGCCATTATTAGAAGTTTCCTGGTGTGTTGATGTGAGAGTCCCCTCTGTATGCTGTGGATATCATTGGTTAATAAAGGATCTGCTTTGGACCTATAGCAGAGCTATAGGGGAACAGAGCTAGATGGGAAAAACTAAGCTGAATGCTGGGAGAAAAGAGGTGGAGTCAGAGAGATGCTGTGGAGCAGCCAGAGTCAGACATGCCAAATCTTTGCTGGTAAGCCACTGCCATGTGGAGATATACAGATTAAGAGAAATGGGTTAAATTAAGATGCAAGAGGTAGCCAATAAGAAGCTAGAGCTAATGGGTCAAGCAGCGTTTTAATTAATACAGTTTATGTGTGGTTATTTTGGTTCTGCGTGGCTGGGATGAATAAGCGGCTTCCTCCCACAGTGTGGGATTTCAGTTACAGGGTATTCTTGTCAGGGTGAAATCAGACAATTAAAACCATTGGTTGTAGGCTTGGAAGAGCAAATCAGTGGTTACGAGTATGTATGGTCTTGTGGAGGATCTAAGTCCAGTTTCCAGCATCCACATTGAGCAGCTCACAACCACCTGTAATGACACTATTTTCTGGTCTCTATGGGTACCTGCACATGTCTTTGTATCATCAACCCAATACATTAAAAACGGCCATTGGGTGGCTAAGGTTCAGAGAAAGAAAGAGTGATGCCACTCAATGAATTTGGTTTTGAGAAGGCCAAATAATGCTCTCAAGGTGAATACATAACTTTATACATTGGTCGGTGCCTGTAAAACATTACTGCACAGAGAGGACCTTAATGTCTGAAAAATGAAAATAGATGCGTTAGGTATCTGGGAAGAATCAGGGATGGAGACTAAAAAAGGTCTAATTTCATTATACCAAGTGAGAAAACATTAGAGAAGATTTAGAGACTGTGGAAGGGGATGGCCAGACAATTATGAAATAAATCATATATGTATAACTTAAAGGCAAGAGGGCTCAAAAACATGCCCAAATCAGCTTGGGAAGGCTGCTTCCCACACAGACATGGGCCAATGATTCTGATGCACAAATGTATATGAAAAATTGGATAGGTGGATGGTGGATAGTGGTAGGCAGGAGTTTTACTTTTTTTTTTTTTTTTTTTTTTGGTGTACAGATACACCAAAGAGGAAGCTACGGTAAACCATGCAGAAATGGGTAGGAGTTGAAGGCACTAGTGTGAGCCATATTAGCTCACACACATTAGCTATAAAAGTATTGGCAAATGCATCCACAGTCCTGGGTTAGTGTATACACATATATCTCTTCTTCTGCCAGGTTACAGGATATAGTGACAATATTCCAGTAGCGACGAGCTCATCTGGACCAGAGTTTTGCTTCTGATCTAAATCTCTGATCAAAGGAATCTGGGATCCTAGAGAAATGACTGGACCTAGAATTGTGGGAGGAAATATGAAAAATCAACATGGAGACTGTGGCAGCTTCAAAAATGGAAGGGAGCTCCCAGGAGCAAGGAAAAAGGAAACTGTGCACTGATGGGAGTATTTTAAGAGAACCTGGGACCCCTCTAACGGAGCATCTCATGGCTGGTCTGGGATGACGAGGGCATCAAAACCAAATAAGGTAACTCAGGATTATAACTCAAACTGTAAATATCCAAAGTCTACATTTATATAAACAAAGATTTGAATAAGTAAGTGTAGGACCCGGGTTTTCCCTTGCTCCCTGGGGTGCGTCTCAAGGACAATTCTGGTCAGCCAGCTAAAACTTCCTGCTAATTCCTGTGCTCACTCTGCTATAGCCTGGTGATTTAGCCTTCGGGCTTTGCTTCATCTTTGGTATGGTAATTTCCCACCTGCCAGGGAGAATTCCTACAGGGCACCAAGTTCTCTCTCCTCGCTACTCTGCGCCCCCAGCCCCCTGCCTGGGAAGGTATCCCTACAGCGCCAGGTCCCATACGGAGCCAAGTCCACTACTGCAGCGCCAGTTTCCCCTCTGGCGGGAGGGAATTCCTTTACTGGGGCCAAGGTATATTAGCTTTGCATTAAGCTGAATAAAGTGGCATTCGGTGATCTCTTGTCGAATGACCCTGGTCTCTTGTGTTGTGTCTTTTGTTCAGTTTCCAGGCCTTTGCCCAAACTCGCATAGGTAGGTGTGC